GTCAGCACTATGCTCTGTGCTTAGCTATAGCAGGGGTGCGCAGGATATTGCAGTTTTTCGCAGATAATTTTTCGCCTCCACCACCGTCCTACAGATGCATGTGATTTTCATCATACACAGCACTTTGTCAGAGTGAAATGCGCTCTGTGAGAAATAAATGAGTGTCATATAGCCTTTAAAGTTGTAAGCTGATGCATATGTGTGAATAATATAGCCAGTAGGTTATAAATGACTCGCTAAGTTCTGACAAAACAGAGCAAGAAATAACAGAGAGTCCAGTTATAAAAGTTTTAACAGAGCAGATTGGAGGCTATTGAAGTCACAAACTATCAATCTGCCATGCAAAGGGTGTGGGTGTGAATCTTTGTTTACGAACGTTCTACAATCCTACTCATACTCAAACACCCATCAACAACAACATAGCAAACCCACCTACTACAACACTCCAGACTCACACCCACAACGACACGAGCGACCAACATCCTCAGCAACAGCATCACAACCGTATACACCAACAACTAAACATTTGTATCCAAACATTCTATCCACCTACAAACAACATGCCGGACTTATGCTTAGATCGACACAACCGATCAGCACCCACCCACAGGCACACTGATACCACCATTCATCTATACTCACGCACCCACACTCAAACCCACATCCACCATTATAAATGGCCATACCCCGACTATGTGGGTATGGGTATGAGTATGGGGTGTGGAGATGCGAGTCTCCTCCTAACCAACCCATACCCACACCAATGCTAAATGATTGTTCAATCGCATTTTATTGATATAAATTAAAATGAAAGCAAGTCAATCAACAATGATGAGTATACTATGATAAGCTTCAATTGATGTGCATGGTCTGATGCATCTTCTCTCACAGAAACAGTCTTCAAGATCGGTTAAATGCGTTGGATTTTCGAGAAAAAGACAAAAAAATTATAAAAAAGGTTGTTCACTGATCAGTAAGGAATCCTTTACCAGACCAGGCGAGCCGTCATCGGCTGCTACTATGCTCACATCTACATCCACATCTCTTCTAGGTTCCGGAAGCCTTGGAGTCACTACCTTCGCCGTGGTTTGCTTTCCATGGTAACATTTAGTTCACAAAATAATCTATATGTTCATTCACCCTTAAAAGTATTTTTGTCAAGCATAAAACAAAAAGAAACACAATATGTTTTTTCAGTTTGGCATAATAAAACAAATTCAAGGTTTTTAGATACGTAAAAATTCAAGCTTTTTCTTTTACTTGAATATTCTCGACCAATATTTTGATTGCATTTAATAGATCATATAGTCGTTGAAAAGAAACAGTTTAGTTAAATATTTTGTCATGATTTTAAGAGAAATATGATATGAATCTCATATTGGTCTTATACTGAATCATTGAATGGGTGAAAAAAGTCTAAACAACACATGTTTTTCTGAAAACAGTTACATCTATATTGTCATATCGTTCAAAGTTTTCTTGTTGCTTGATTAAATTCCAACATCAATGCGACTCGATTCAGATCTCTACTGACAGTATTGTTAACAAAGATCATTTTCGATTGTCTCATTGAATTATGGAATCCGCAATCAAATTTAATGTGTCCGACGTTTGTCTCTTGCTATCGTGCACGTATCTGGCAAATAATGATGCAACCATTGGAGGAGTTTATCTTCTTTTGACGTTGAAATACTATCCCACTCATCATCATGGCATCGAACACGGAGTGCTCGAAGATTTTTCATTGTATTGACAAAAATCAAGTATACATATTCGATTTTTGGACATAGATAAAAAGCACGTCACATCGGATGCCAAGTGGGAATATACTGAATAAAATACATTGTTCATTGTTGTATACTCCATCGGTTAACAAACACTTTACGCGTGATACTGACTGACTCTTGAGTCAGAATAGTTCGGTTTGTGAATTGTTAGATGCACAACGGCGCAGAAACAATGAAGATATGAAGTCAAACATTCGAGCCTTGAAATGATAGATCAAAAACGTTCGTTGATATGAAGATTTACGCAAAGCTCTCAAATGTTTGATAACTGAATATTGGACACAAATGAGCTAGCATGAAAAGTATGTGTGTTCACACGATTATATGAACTATAATCATCGTCTTGGAGACAGATCGATTTGAATGGGATCGGAAAGCTCAAGTAAATTTTATGAAAAACTTGTGGTAGAGTGATTAGAAGAATGTGTCTGTCATATAAAGTCCAATGGTATCGAACAAACCAACGGTGCTCAACCAGCCAAAATCGGCTCTGAAATGAGTCTAGTAATTTGTCTATTTGCTCTTTCTTGTCATATGCGTTATAGAGACTACTGTCCATGCAAAATTGAAATGTTTTGAGTTTCAATAGATAGTTGCGAATAATTTCTTCTCTACGGTTTCCGTCTACAGCACTGTTTGAAGGCCTAGTGAGTGAGGTTAGATAGATTACGTAATTCCAATATAATTTTATCAATTATTTGATGAGAACGAAGATGATGTAATGACAATGATCGCAAATGAATAAATTGATGAAGAATGAAGCCATCAATATAGAATCGATCTATTTGTTCTGAAGTATCATCATCGCCCGACAGATAGTGACAAAAGAATGTTTGAATATTGCTCGAAAGTCAAGGCCACGAGTTTGAAAATAATTGAGAAGAAATAAATCAAAACGAAAATTGAGATCACGAAATGCATGAACACAATGAGATGTGCTAAGATAATCAAATACATCGAGTAACAGCTCACTGGCTCAAGATTTCAGATTCGTCTTTTGCTTGTGTCCTATCGTTGTGATATGCAGTTGTCAAAAATGATTTAATAGCAAGTCTCATACATTTGTATCTCCAATCAGTAGGACAAATTTTTTTTTCCCTGTCAAAGGAATGACGGTAACGTAAAAGATGTTGAGAAAATATTGCTGATATTTTCTTCCATAGATCATTTCTCTTGCAAATGATACACATTCAACATTGCTTTTTCATTCTTCTCCTGTTACAGGTAAATTTTCTTATGTTTATCTTAAGCGTAAGATAGTCCGTGAATTCAACTGCTGTCAAGCATTTAGATTTAGCCATAGGACACTATATTGTATGAATGAACAAGTATTTCTATATGTTATCTAATGAACTATTCATAGAGCAAATTGATTTATTCAAATTATATTTCCTAATATACAAAAAAAAAATATGAGATTAAATAATTGTACTCGATTTTGCATAACGTTTAATTTCTGCAGGTAAAGGTTTTGATTCAACATATTGTTTTAATTCATCATTATTAATTACCATAATCATTGTATGTTCACCAGTTAATGGTTCATCTACTGAAGTATATCGACCGAAATAACGTCGAATAAAACCTCGTTCAATTAAACGAAGAAATGTCTAAAACAAAAAAACAGCATAATCTCTTGTTAAATTTTATAAAAATACAAAAAATTAAAATCTTAACCTTTCGAACAACTGCTTTATCATAAAAATATTTTTGATTTTTCAATACATATTTGGAATATTCATGATAAACTTGATCAAAAGTAAATTTTATATCACTCATAATACCACTTTTATTTTCTTCATCATCATTATCATCATCATCGCTTTCATTTGTTCCGCCAGTTATTTTATTTTGTAATTTTTCATCTATACGTTTAATAACATTATTTGTCATTAAAAGTAATAATAATTCTAAATGTGTTAGACAACCATCTAAGTGTTGATCTGGTCGAGTATCTTCATTAATATTTATATTTGAATCTCGTAAATAATGAATTATTTTTTGTTCAATATTTGTTAATGAATTAAATAAATCATTATGAAATTGAATATCTTTTTTTATTTTATATAATTGAAGAATATATTTTGTATATTCATCAATTGAAGGTGATGATAATATATAATAAATTTGTGAAAAACGTGATTTTAAACGTTTTTCAGGTAATTCAAGACAATCCGAACGATTTGATACAGCTATTGTTAATACTGAATAACTTTTTTTATCTGAATAAACAGCATCAAATAATGTATAAAGAATAGAATTTAATTTTTGGAATGTAAATTGTTCAAAATGATCAAGAATAAAAATAAAATAAATTTTTTTATCTTTTTTTTCATTTGATATTGTTTCAAGTAATATTTGAAGATTATCACATGGATAATCATTTGTAGTTTTTCTTTGAATATTATATTGTGATGAAATTTCTTGTATAGCTGATGATTCAATTGAATGAATTAAACCATTTAAACGAAAAATAAGTATACGTTCAGTAAGAGAATTATCTTCATTATGAAGTTTATTAAAAATATGTTCGAGTAATTTTGTTTTACCACAACATGGTGGTCCAGCAACAAGAACAGTTTCACTTTTATTTTCTAGTATATGACGACGAACAAATTGAGAAAATTGTTGAAGAAATAAATCAATTGTTGAATTGATAAAAAGAGATGGTGCAAAAGAAGATGGTTTGGAAGTTGCTCGAGATGGTTGTCGTCGTAAACTCATATTTGAATGTGGAGAAATAAAGAAAAATCTAAAATTAACAATATGATGTCTGTAAAATTTCACGAGAATAGCTCATTCTCTAGAATCAAATAGATTTGAATTCTAGTGTATCTAAAAATTGATACAAAAATTAAGTATATTTTAATGAGTTGAAATAAAAGTCAGATAGTATTTTTCAGTTGTTTTAACTCGTGTAGAAAATTCTTCTATAAAATAAAGATGAACCAAAAAATGTTTCATATATTCGGAACACACTGTTCATCAAAAACAGAAGAGTAAGTGTAGCGTCATCTATAAGAGAATTTTCAAGATATAGAGTTTTCGAAAGATTATAAGTTTTTAAATGATAAAAATTAATTTAAAATTAGAAATAAAGTGATCTTTGAGATAATTATTTTATTGGTTATTAATGTTCATTGTCTGGGAAATGTGAAATGAATCACATTTTCTTTCTTCTCTTCGTTCATTTCATTTCATAAGTTTACAAATATGGTGAACGAGAAGCTTATTCTATTCGGTGTATGTAATCAATTAAAACTAGTTATTAATAAATAATAATTGTTAAAATATAGGTCAATTCTCTTATCACTGCACCACTTGAACCAGTTAAATCAATTGAAGAATTTCGAACTGCTGAGCATTTTCTTAATATTGTTTCTCAGATGTATGAAAATCTTTTCATTTTTTTCTTTTATTTAAATATCATTGAATAATTTAGTGAAGCACAAAAGTTTTCAGAATCACGTATAAGTATTCCAGAATTCAACGATTATGTTCATGATAAGTTTCAATTCATTCTTGAATATCTCTCGAGTATGTTGAACAACATCTTTATTTTTTTCAATACTCTTTAAATTCTTTCATAGAACAATCAACTTCTCCAATTACTGAATGGAATATAAATGAATTAGTTCGAGGCAATGATGTTCTTCTTTCAAAAGTAAAAACAATGGAAAAATATTGAGTCTAGAAATGATAAAAATATCATTGTTTTTTTTTTGTTCAGATGGCATTGCTGGTTGTATTTGCTGCTCATGCTGATACATATTTCTATTCAAAATCACTTGATGCTGATGAAAGTCAACATGAACAATTAGCAGCTCTTTTCGATTTACATATGATTGAAGGAACACAAAATAATCCTTATCAATTAAATATTGATGCTTGTTTAAGAGATGGTAAGTTCTTTTGCGTTTTTTTTCTTTACTAATGAAATATTTGATCTATGCTTTGTAGATTCCGGAGGTACACAACCAAAACAAACAACACCAGTTATAAGAAAACGACGAAATACACAAATTTGTAGTAGGTTTCTACAGTTTACGACAAATAAAAGATTCCGATCGAATTTATTTGTGTTTTTTCTTTAGATTTAAATGATTCATTAAATAATCAAAATCGTTCATCAATACTTGATCGAAGTTTTACTCGTTCACCTGGTGTAAGATATATATTTATTTTTCTATTTTTTCATACATATTTTATTTTCTTTCAGCAACATCAAGCTGTTGCTTTAGCAGCGACTCAACAAGCACGTGCTCTTCAAGAAGATTTATATAAAGTACAATATGAATTAGATGATCTTCAACATAAATATGGTGGTCTTGAAAAAAGTTATCATGAATTAAGTAAATAATATAATCTTTTATAGAAAATTTTATATACTTTTTTTTTTTTGCTAATTTAAAGAAGAAAAAAATCGTGAATTATCTGAAAGAGTTCTTCGACAAACAGATTATGATCCAATTAAAGATGAACGTAATAAACTTCGTGAAGATGTTCATCGATATGAAATTGAAAATAAACGGTAAATAAAAAATTACTGTTTTTTATTTCGATCAATATTTTTTTTTTTTTTTTATCATGTTTATATTAGACTTCAAGGTGTTAAAGAAAATGTTATAGATTTACAACAACGTCTTCAACAATATCAAAAGAAAAATGATGAAATGCATGAAAAAATTGCAACACTTGAAAGAAAAGTTAGTTAGTTAATTTTTTAAAATTTAATTAATTGTTTTAAATACGTAGAATATGAAATTTTCTTTTATTTAAGCTTCGTGAATCTAAACAACAATGTGATGAATATAGTAAAAAAATTGTTAATCAAAATGCTGATATTCTTCTTTTATCATCAGCAAATGAACGTGTAAAAATGTTAGAAATAGAAAATCAACAAATGAAAATTATTAAAGAACAACGTGAAACAGAATTATTAAGACAAATTCGTCATTTACAAGATGATAAAGAAGAACTACAAAAAAAACTTGATGGTAAAATATACATATTCAATTGTTTTATTAAAAAAAAAAAAATAAAATTTATTCTTTTGAAAATCTTAGAACCAATGACAACAATTGAAACTCCATTAATTGTTGCAGAAAAACGAGCATTAGAAGAAGAATTACATACATTGAAAATGTCATATTATGATCGACGTGAAGCTGATGCTGAAATTGAATCATTTAAACAAACAATAAAACAACTCGAGGAAAAAATTGAACAACTTAGAAATGAATGTCAAGAATTATATAAACAAAAACATGAATATGCTGAAGAACAAATTGCATGTATGTATTTTTATAAGCAATAACAATAATATTTGATCGAAAATCAATTTGATTTTTTGGAGGAGAACTAATGGCATTGATTTTGATTAGAAACTAGAGGATAGATAACTATCTTTTTTTTATCAATGAGATCATAGAATTTTCAAACTAGTACCTTCAGAATGCTATGAACAAACTATAACATCTAATAAATTAGTAGAAAAAATGATGTTCGACTTTTTCTATGTATTGAAACAATCATGAAAAATTGTATGCGCAATTTTTGCAAGATTGAATCGTTTTATTTAATCCTCGAGGAATGTAATAATGATGAAATTTAAATAGATAAAAAGAATATAATTTTTGTATTTTAGTACGAAATGAACTTAATGCACAAATTGAAACATATGAAAATAAATTGGGTGTATTAACAAAATTTATCGAAGAATTGAAACGAGAAAATGCTAAAACAGTAAGATTTAACTTTTTCTAATATGGATCTATTTAATGAGACAAAAAAGAAAATATCTTCATCTTTTGATAATATTTATAGACTGATGAATGTAATCTTCTTCGAAATGAAATCATCTCTTTAAAAAGTAAACTTCATGGACAAAGTGGTGAACTTAATTCTGAAATTGTTAAATCTTTTGATTTACGACATCAACTTGGTTTACTTAATGAACAAGTTTCATTAAAATCAGCTGAAATAATAAATCTTCTAACAAAAATTGATTCATTAAAAGTTGAAATTGATCATTTAAAACTTGATCGTGATACATGTCAATCACGTTTAATTGATTTACAAATGCAATATGATAAATTAACAAATACATGTTCAATGTATGAAATAAAATTAAATGAACAAGAAGAACGTGAAACACAACTTAAATTACAAGTACAACAAGTACGTGAAATGCATGAAAATATTGTACAAGAAAAAGTACGTTCACAAACTGAATATACAGATGCACAAATAAGAGTTACAAAAGTTGAACAAGCATTAAAAGATAAAATAGAAGAAGTAGAAAATGTAAGTTTTAATAATGAAAAAATAAATTAAATATTTCGAATGACTTATTTTTTTTTTTTTTTGACTAGTTAAAACGAGCTGCAAAATTATATAATCAAGATATAAAAGAACTTGAAAAATATGGTGAAGATTTACGTGAACATTATGAAAAATCAAAAGTTATACATAAAAAGGTAATGTTTAACTAAGAATGTTCTGTATCATTTGCGTTCTTCCAAACAAAACCTATTTAGCCTGTAATAGTTATCAACATCAGCAAACTAAAATAACGAATCTTATTCACGCGTCGTTGTGTGTTCGCTAAGGACCACAATAATGATGAAATGGGTTACAGTAAAGTAGTCAGATATGTCAAATGTATATAATCAATGTTTGAAAGTAATTTTACACTTTACATGAACAAAATTTTTTACTAAGATGAGCATCGGAAATAAATTGTTGAACGTTTTCTATGTCTTAAAGAATCAGTCTTATAGTTTAGTATTACATTTCTACATTACTTCTACAGCAGAACAGGAATTCGATCCCAATACGAATTATGACACAATTATATTCATCGTTTTTATTTTCTTTACTTTTAGACTGAACAAGAATTAAATGAATTGAAATCTGTTCATTCAAAAACTTTATCAGATTATGAAGAATTACAAAAACAATGTTCACTTCTTAAAACTCGTTGTCATCAATTAGAAAGTGAACGTTTACCATTAATTGCTCAACTTGAATTTGCTGATAGAAATTTACGACAAGTTAAAAAACAACAACAAACATCTATGACAACAAGTACAACTGTTCATCATCAACCACCATCAACAGCCTCAAATCCTATTTTACAATCAATTGAAAATAGTAATAATAAATCTGTTTCACGTCTTATTCGTTCACCAAGTCTTGATATGCGTATAATGCGTCGTACAAGTAAATGATTTCTTTTTTTTTCCAAATTATTTAAATCTTTTATTTTTAAGATGATAAAATGGATGATACACGATCATTAGATCATGATGATTTAGCATTACTTTTACATAAAAATCAATCATTTAATAATTTTGCTTTGTAATAGATAATCAAAAAAATTTCTTAAAAAAATAACTTTTGAACTTTTTCTATTTTTGTTTTTAGAAATGGTCGTTCAACTGATCATTTAACAAAATATGGTAAAATTATTCTTTTTGTATGTTTGAATATTAATTATTTCTTATTTTAAACAGATATTGAAAATGAAGATGAACCAATTCATCTTGATTTGGGTTCTGTTGATTATAATCGACGTATAACTGAATTACAACGTCGAAATCTTAGTCAACCAAAACATTTACGTACAGCATATGCACTTGAAACAATGGAACATGATCCAGATGATTTTTCAGCAAGTTTTATTCGTAAAGGTGCAGGAATTACTGATGAACATTCAACAACAAATTTATCATCACGACAACGAATTGCAAATGAAAATCAAAAAGGATCAGAAGTAAGAAATTTTTCTTTTATTTTTTTTGGGATCAACTTTCTTTTTTTCTTTGTTTTAGACACCAAAAGCTTCTCGTTTCAAGAATTTATTTCATCGAAAATAGAATCTATTATTATTTTTTTTTCTGTTCTTCTTATAAGAAATGTATCTTGATGATTGTTATACTTTAAACTAATGCAAATTTATTCTTTTTCTTACTATAAATAAAATAAAATGTTTAACTATAGAAAAATATATCTGATTAAAAAACCAAAAATCAAATATTGTTATTGTAATCTACAAGAAAATAATCATTGAGAAATCGAATCGAAGCAATTTATGCACACTGTGAATGAAGCCAACATTAAGACGTTTCATTTTATGAAGGATACATTGATGATTGTACTTGATTTGAATATTAACAGACAGAAATTAAAATAACCAGCTGCTACTATTTATTCTAGTGTTCTGATATACTCTTGTATCTTGTCAGTGGTTTCTTACTATTTACAGATGTTTTGTGGTAAGCTGTTCGAAAAAACAATGCAAACACCTCAATGGCCATTGCCATTGCCTAAGAACAATTAGCAACATCCTAGCAGCCGTCAACAACAAAGTGCTTTTTATGTGTTCAGCCATCATTAATCAATACATTGACTTGCATCTCTAGTTATGATGTTTGTCAAATTAGATCGATATTATAAAACTGCATTTGTAAAATTTCGGTACACTACAATCGTTCAGATCGGAAGATATTTCCGAACGATAACAGAGCATGAATGTAGGTCTTCTATACATCGAAAGTCAAATACGTTAACAAAGTCGTTGACGATTGTTTTTTTATCTCCTATAATAAAAAATATTCTTTGATAGTATTTGTTCACACGAGCACGGAGTAGATGTGGACAATTTTCGGAAACAATTGAACACTACACAATATTTCTGTCTTATCATTATGAAAAAAAAGTGATTAGAATCAGCTTGAACTAAAGAAAGTAGATATAGAATTCTAAACTGGTTCAAAAAAATAACTCACTAGATCTCTATTTCTAATTAGAAAAAAAAAATTCAGAAATTAAGTTTTTTATTTATTGTGTTGTCATGTGACTTAATTTTGTCAAGTTTCGTCTAAATCAATTAGTTTATTTTGCTTATCACATTTTATCCCTGCTGTACATTTTTTTTCTAAGAGAATTTTTTAAGATTGATTCGTGCATCCCTAGCTCAATTTAATTTTCATATCAAATTAGTTCGTACTTAGCTGACAATTTGAACTTATTGATTTCGAGTCTATAACCTTTTCAAAAATATATTGATGGGTATCATATTCACAGCACGAGTACAGCAATTCAATGAAGCTGTCTATTCTATATTTTTCTTATGTGAAAGTACTTCGATAGAATTAAGACGATGCTTTGTAATTTCGGATGTTGCTCTTATCGGTCGTATTTAGAAAAGAAATGCTCCATTTGTTTTCTCTCCCATCACAATTCTACGTGTGAAATTGTGCCGATGACGAACGATAACGCTTGATTTTATCGATATAATTTTGACAGAGTCGGGACTGCTTCTACAGAATACTAGACATGATGGCTAGAGTGATTCTAGTGTGGATTCTATTAATGATCGATGTAACAATAAGTCAGATTCCAAACCCAAATCAATATCGATTTACATTATCAACGAACGGTGTTGTTCAAGAACGTTATGCTATTGATATGACTGCTGGTAAAATGTCTCGAATGTGGTTCTCAAATGATGGCGACGAAGAGTTCGGTGGAAATCAAGACATCTATGTACGTAATGACAAGCTTACATATTTATTCAACTTTATGTCACAACCACCTCAATGTATTGCCAATAAAGTGGGACCGCCTAATGAAATGTTCTATTGGCCAAATCTTGTTCGATCATGGGGTGGCGAACAAAAACCTTATGATGCGTTGATATTTGATGGTGATTGTGATGGTACTTGTTTGACATGGAAAGTTGAAGGAAATTCTACCTATGAACATAAACGTTATCATTATATTAACCGATTGTATGTCAAAAAAGCCGAACAGAAACCAATCAAACTTGTCATGAAAACCTTCGATCTCGATACAGGAAAATTAATATCATCAACTGATACGAGGTTTCTAAATTGGACAACAGGTCCCGTACCTGATTATGAATTTGATTATCCTATGGATCTTAAAACTTGCTATCCGACGTAAATTTTTGTGTATCACAGTCATATTATTAAAACAGTATGTTTTAATAGAAGAAATTTGTATCATTGGGGAAAGTATCTAACAATGATATTAAAATGAAAAATATGGAACCCTGTTATGCATTACTAAAGAAGTTGTGAATAAATCATCGGGTTTGTAATTCATGTTTGCAATCATAATAGATCTTTTTTGCTTGGTTTCTTATGATATGACTCGATAGTATTAGATCACGGAAGAAGCGATCGTCAGTGAATAGACTCACTGCTTTAGAATGTATATCAATTTCATCAAAACTAGACACGACGACACTGATAAATAGAATAGATTAGTATTCTCGCTTGGAACTCGAGAGTGTGGATGTGACTCTCTCCTTAAATCACATATCAATTTTCCCTGATTAAAGATAGCATGGCCATGCAATAATTAAAGATTCTTCTTTTGAAGAGCATCAGAAATAACACCTTTGATTGCATAGTTCACAATCAAGAAAATGAATCGTGTGGTGTTTAGTGAAATGGCAGTGATCTACACTCAAACTCTGATTCATAGGTACAATTTTGAATAATCATATTGATCATCTATCAAACCAGTGCAAAAAGAATTCTGATGCATATTCAATCCATCAAGTATTGTATGTTGTTATGAACCTCATTTCTTTTTTTTTTGCGGACAATTGACTATTTCATATTGAACTAACTTATATTTATGTTTGGTTTCCTTTTCACGTTTCTAACTCTAAAGTGCAAGATTTCCATTATTGAATATCACAATAAATCGTGTCGTGTATACAGCCTCATCTAGAAAGAAGAGATACTTTTATTCTTAAGATGGTGTTTGATATAAACCGCGATGCCTATAATGCGCTATCATAAGTAATCGGTAAACTTTGCTTAAAAATCAATATTTTCTCTAGACAATGTTGAATAAATTTAATCGATTTATAAATCACATTGATCCAATTTCTCGTTGGCTCATAGCATATTGTCTGTAGGCATGAAACTGTGTCTGATAATATGCCAAGAAAATTTCGAATGAAAATAATTTATCAAATATAAAATGATAAACACCAGAAAAAAAATTACTATATGGTCTACTTGAACAAATGGACTCTTATTTCGAGACTGTGATAATTCTCTTACATATTGATTGTGATTGTTATTATTCATAATAGAATATGTGTGTGTGTTAAGAGAGAATCAACAGCAATATTCACATTCTCTTGTTCTAATTACAAAAACCTTATATATCACTTGTTCAACAAAAGATTCTCACGATTGAATAAAAGCAAAAGAATATATTGTACATCATGTCATTAAATATCGAGTATATGTACAAATTCATAAATATTATGCTTTTCAATCGTCTTGCTATTACGCAAAAAAATAATCAAATCCTTTTTGAATTCTAACTGTATGAGTAAAAATCATATTATCTACTTTGAAAGAACGATCTTTTCAAACCTTTGTATCATTTCTTTGTTATATGTTGCATTAGTAAAAAAAAAAAAGAAATTTATAATTATTAGTAAGTTGAATCAAATCACTATGTTCATCTTTGACAGAAATTCTTATAGATTTATTTTATTTTTACAAATGATCTTTTAGTAAAAATATTTCAATAGAAATTAAAAATGTTATTTTATTTCCATAAAATTGTTCGTGACAGGATTTTCACATGTTTTGTTTGTACTTTGATGATATTCAACATGATAAACAACACTTTTACGATCTATTATTGATGCAATACGAACATTTTGACCGACTATTGAACGAATAGATTTTATTAATTCTTTACGAAATGTATGAGATGTAAGTGTGTATAAATAAAATGATGTAACTGGAAATAAATATAGCATTAATTCTGCAAGAAAAGTAAGGAATGATTCAATAGCTAAATGTTTATTTGATCGATTCGGAATTGTTATTGAAATGGTAATAAATACTAAATTACATAATTGAGGAAGTGTAAATATAATGTAACATATAATTTGCACAAATAATATACTAAGAACTTGTTGATCAAGTGAATTTTTTCGATAACCATTTACTGACAATTGTATTCGTTTTTTATGTTTATGCGCAAGATTTCGACGAATAAGCCATGCGCACACAATCATAATCGTAGCTGGACAAATGCCACCTCCAATAATAACATAAAAACTATGATAAAGTGCGGCGGCCATATTATTTATAATACCACAGAAATTTCCTTTGATATCATAAAATATAAGTCTATGAGAACAAATAATAGACCAACAACTAATAATGATAATAATTATACGATATGCTATTGTTGGTTTGGCAAAATTTCTTAGATTAACATTCTCGGATGTTGATGCATAACGATCAATACAAGCAAAAGCAATGAACCAACGAGAAAGCATTAAACATATTTGAAATATATAACCACGTAATTTACAAAATATAAGTGATTGTATTTGTGGATCAGAATGAACGAGACTATATAAGACTGATCCAATGCCAACAATTAATGTCATTAAATGATCTACAGATGCTGCCAAAAAGTCTAGAAAAAAATCACGCATATAATAGAAAACTAACATTGCAATTCATGAAATATTAAAACATGCTTTGGATAGAAGTTTTTCGTCTGCTATAATCAACTATAATATTGATACTTACAAATACAACATGAAGTTTTTCGTAGTTGTGGACGAGAGAAAGCAATGATGTTGAGTAAACATCCGATAATGCCCAATACAAGCCATATTGGATAAATGGAGAAAGTTAATAGTCTTTGAATAATACAAAGCGTATTAATAAAAGATGAAGATGATGACATTATAATATAATATCACAGTTTATAGAAGAGAAGTGAAAATAACAAGTTATAATGAAAATGATAGGTGAATTATAATCAAAGCGTAAGAATAATAAAATAATCAATAATTTATTCTATTCGTCGATTGAATTTGAGAGAAATCAAAGTAGATAAATTAAAAATTGTTCTTGTTTTCGAATAACAAATGCACTTTTACGAATACTAAGATAATAAATGTGTGGAACAGTGTTTCAATCAATATATATGATGGATCTCATTAGTATGCAACATATAAAACATACTATTTTTTCAAATGACATAAGAATCTCAAATAGCTATAAGGTAATTGCTCAAAACAGGCTTATCCTTTTGGAAAATCTTTTAATGAGAAAATGCTAAGATGACAATAAGGTTATCAAAATAGAATGATTAGAATTATTTCTTTTTGACAGAAAGTCATGGTTTCTTTTTTTATCGGAAACAAGAATAATAATGAACGAAGCGTTTTCTGAAAAATTAATAAAACTATTAGATAATGTAAGAGAAGATGCCTAAGGTAATACTAAAGAATGTTTAGTCAAAGAAAGTCATTTTTTCTGAAAATAAGTACTTAGAATATTAATTTTAAACTTACAAAATGTTTCCTGTATTATGAAGTACAGAGAAGGATTCTGATTGTTCAAATAAATTGTCAGATTAATTTTTTTGTAAACTTGTTTATCATCATTACTTTGTTTTTTTAGTTTTTTTCAAATTTATACATTGTTTTTCCGAAAAAAAACGTAATAACTACATAACATATCAATGAATCACAGAATAAAACAATTTTAAATTATGTTGACATGAAATAGAAATAACATTGGGCGAGGATGAATTTAATAGTTTATTATCAACTTATCCAAATACACTATAAACATAAATTAATTTCTTTGCAAGCATTTTTTTTTGTACAGTATCACACACCCGAGTTTTCAACATGTAAAAACTTGATTTCTGTTGGAGTCTCGACAATAAAAAAGATAGTGAACATTTCAGTCTACCGATGAGTCACAATAAAATGGAACGAGATTATCAACGAAACTCCATCATTTCCACCATTTGTGTGATTTCCGACCGGAATTTCGACATTTCTTCTTATTGTCAAAAGATCAGCGGAAATTGAACAAATTGTCAAAAATCAAGTGGTGAAATTCCTGTTTTCTTGTAAAACGTCAAGATATTCTAAAATAGTCTGTAAAAATACATTATCTTATAGATAATGTATATTGAAATATCTTAACTTCGAATTCTAGATGAATGCATACAAGCTCATTGTACTAACAATTAGGATAGGTAATCTCTTTCATGCACATGAAAGTGTTTGGCCACCATCCGACTTCACAATTCAATTAAATAACGAGTTTTTTTCATTTAAAATTTTTATTCAAAAGAAAAAACAACAACCATTATCGAACATATCTCAAATAAACATGAAAAAAGAACTACTATTCAATATCGTTTAGTTTAGTTTGCCTTGTTACTTGTACTTTTCGTAAACAATTAAACTAACTGAACCAGGAGAAACATATTTTGATCTTATTTTGTATTCTTGATTTGGTGGAACTAGGACTACTCGAATCGAGTCGAACTCGAATTCATTTTCCGGAAGTAAATCTGAACTAAACTGAACTCGAACCATCGAAAAATGGTTCTATTTAGTTACAGATGATCATATATTACTCATCTTATTAGTAGTGTATACATAGGCACATACAATAATAACTATGTGTAGTAATAGAGAAAAAACAACAAGTAGTTGCATTTCATTAAGAAAAGTGTGGAAAGAAAAGAGAAGAACACAATCAGTGCGTGTTACATCATGCAGAGACACAAAGAGACAGAGTGAAAGAAGTGGCAAGATACATGATGAACATACACAAAAGTAGACGGCACTGACACTATGATAAAGACACGAATGAATCTTTCCGAAGTTTAATGAAAAGTAAAGAAAAGAAAAGAAAAAAAGAACACTAGAAGGTCTTGTCAATGTATACAAATAAATAAACCGAGACTCGTTTGAAAAACTGCCCAAGTCTATGTTGGCGCACACGGATAGATTGTGCACGCTTAGGTATGGGTGTTAATATTGGTATGAGTTGGTTTGGATCTTTTCTTCATTTACAATCACATATATACATCCACTACTGAGTAAAAGGATATTTCTACGTTTGGCGCACTGGCGCTAGTACATTTCGTCGCATAACACTTCGTCGTACGACATTTTGTCGCAGAACATTTTTTTTTCGTTCTGTTTGTCGCAGAACAATTTCTTTCGTTCTGTTCGTTGCAGAATAATTTTTTCTTTCGTTCTGCTTCTTGTATTTCTGTTAATTAGTCCTGTTTTTTTTTGATAACTATAGTCAAAATAAAATAAAGTAAATGAAAAACTCTAAAATATGGGTACAACAAGGACAGACAATTGATTGCTCTAAAACGTATGACTTGAATTTGGAAAATAGATCGATGAAAGGTCTTAACCAAATGTAATTCTGAGACAGTTAAAGTCAGCAAAAAATAATTATATTTGTCATTATGTTAATGAATTTTAACATTGACTAGATCAACGATAACATTGCCAGGACGCGATGGATCTGACTATCGGATAGCATCAGATCTTATCGGAGTCCTTAATATTGAATTCTATTGGAATTCTTGGAATACGACGAGTTGACTTTGATCTTGGTACTTATCCAACGCTCTCCAAATTAGTTCTTTAGATTGTTTTTCCGTTTAGATTAGTTTTCTTCTTTTTTCTTTAGGTTTTCTTTTTTCTTGCTTTTTCGTTTCACTTTGTTGATGGTTCTGTTATGCATGATACGTAAAATGAAGATGAGTTAAATTGATCAATTTGATGTTTTTAAAAAAAATAATTAAGAGGAATGCAATGAACAGAACGAAAAAAAATGTTCTACGACAAAATGTCGTACGACGAAGTGTTATGCGACGAAGTGATCGTGCGACGAAATGATCGCGACGAAGTGAACGCGACGAAGTGAACGCGACGAAGTGAACGCGACGAAGTGTCGTGCGACGAAGTGTCGTGCGACGAAGTGAGCGGTCACCGGCGCACTCTATTCAAAGTGACTGGCAATCGATCTCGAAGGCACTAATTACTTACTGTTAGCTCCGATTGAGCCGGTGGTTGGTTTGGTTTTAACCAATGAGTTAATGCGGTCAAAATGTTGATCCCAGTAAATGCAAACAATTTAGAGTGATTCTTCTCAATACGCAATCCAAACAGTTATCTGCTACCTATGAAGAATTACTCAACTGAGAAACAGGGTAAATGATAAACATTGACGAAGATAGGCAAAAAATAGGTAGCGTAGCATAGAGCAATGTTAACAAGTTTGTATCATCGGATACTCATTTCAAAACCTTTTAGTAATTTGGTGGAGCAGAGAGAGGCGTGTTGGTTGGTAAATAAAACATATTTTTACTCTCCCACATGTTAGATAGGATTATCTTCCTGACGACTTTGAGATCATATGAATGATTGACAAGTCTTAGAATGAGCATTCATTCGATTCCTTATTTTATGCTTCATGTTACATGTTGTCTAGAAAGAACTTCATCAATGAAAAGTGTAAATTTTCATTTAGAATAGAAATATCTAAATACATCAACAACTATTTGTTTCTGGCAGGATGTTAAATTGTTGAATTCGATGATTTCTTTCCTCGCTTGCAAACAAATTTTCTTCCTTGTTCAATGCTATGCTGTAAGCATCGAGAAATTTGCTAGGATCAGTAAGTCATCCGTTTCCATTGGCCACTACTACACCACTGGTTGTATCTGGTGCCCATTTCATAATTCGATCATTGTCAGTATCGGCAATATAAATGTTGCCATACTGATCGACTTCAATATCCCAAGGATTATTCAGTTGATTATCAGCTACACCTTTTCTGTTTCCATCTGTCACACTAATGCCTTCGGTTGCACCTTTCTTCTATTTTTGTATTCGGTTATTCCATAGATCGGCAATATAGATCGTTTCGCATTGATCAACAACGATCCCGCGTGGTCCATTTAGCTGATTTGCTTTTGATCCACCACCATCACGTCCGGTACGATAATACCTTCGCCTTTCTCGGGAATCCATTTGAGAATAGGATCATTGTAAAAGTTTGATATGAACAATGCATTCGTTTCTTCATGAACAAAAATACCCTGGCAAACACCTATCTGATTAAGAGCTTTGCCTTTTCCATTTCCTTCAGCCACTGTAACGCCACTAGTCGCATCTTTTGCCTACATTTGAATGCGATAATTATTACTATCAGAGATGTAAACATTTTCATTTGTATCGACATAAACAATTAGAGGCATATTTAATTGATTCGATGCATTACCTTGACCATTTTCGCCAACAACTGTTACTTCAGCACTTCCAATGGCCTTGATATTGAACTTCTGCACTCGATGATTTTTCAGTATCAGCAACATAAATATTGCCACGTTCAGCATCAACGTATAAGCCTAATGGCGAGCCCAAATGGAATGCATCGTATCTAAATTTTCTGTCTGAGCCAACAATAACAGTTGCTTTTGTTGACCATTCTATCGTTTCACGACAGTTCTTTTGATTTTCATGATCACAATTAGTAGAAGTTAAACAAAAACAGGACTAATCAACATAGTCTAGCACACACAACTTTCATAATCTATTTCAAC